AGTACAGTGCATTGGATGGAAGAGAAGCTACCGTTTTTGTCAGTTCAGTAAGCAGAGTTGAACTAGATAGTCCCTGTGTGTGTAGGAAGCCCAGTTCTTTGGTTCTGAACAAGCTCACTGTTCTGGCTCTATTGGAAAAACAGTAGAGTAGAAGAGTGCTCCTTTCTCAAAAGCAGGGTGTGGTTCTCCAAAGAGAGCTAGTGTTGAATTCCCCTTCCTAAACGGAACTGAGTCACATGCATTTTCTGGTACTATCAGCAACTGTTCTTTTCTGGTAAGGAAAGTTACTATCGTGCTCCCATTGCCATACACAGTGCAAATTGCACTCGCGTCTGTTCCCAGCAAGTGCAGTGTATTGGACAAAAGATAAGCTACTGTTCTTGTGGGTTTCCTAGATAGAGTTGAACTAGATATGGCCCTTGTGTTTGGGAAGCACAGATCATTTGTTCTGAGCAAGCTGACTGTTCTGGCCTTATAGGAAACACGGTAGAGTACAAGAGTGCTCCTTTCTCAAAAACAGAGTTGTTTCTGGTAAGACGAGCTGGTATTGAATTACCCTTCATAAACTGAGTGGAATCCCATGAAGTTTCTGGTCCTATGAGCAACAGTTCTTTTCCTGTAACGAAGGACACTGCTGTGCTCCCATTGCCATATGAGTGCAATTAGCACTTGCGTCTCTTCCCAGCAAGTGCAGTGTAATGGACAGAAGAGAAGCTCCTTTTCTAGTCAGTTTCCTATGTAGAGTTTAACTAGATATAGCTTGTGTGTGTAGGAAGCACAGTTCTTTTGTTCTGAGCAAGTTCAGTGTTCTGACATATAGGAAACAGAGCAGAATAGAAGAATGCTACTTTCTCAAAAGCAGAATGTGTTTCTCGTAAGGCGAGCTAGTGTTGAATTCCCCTTCTAAAACAGAGTTGAATCCCATGCAGTTTCTGTTCCTACGAGCAACAGTTCTTTTCCTGTACTGATGGACACTGCTGTGCTCCCATTGCCATATGCAGTACAAATAGCACTGGCGTCTGTTCCCTCCAAGTGCAGTGTATTGGACAAAAGAGAAGGTACTTTTCTCATCAGTTTCCTAAGCAGAGTTGAACCAGATATAGCTCGTGTGTGTAGCAAGCACAGTTCTTTTGTTCTGAGCAAGCTGACTGTCCTTGACCTATTGTAAACACATTAGCGTATAGGAGTGCTCCTTTCTCAAAACCAGAGTGTGTTTCTTATAATTGATCTAGTGTTGAATTCCCCTTCATAAACAGTTGTATCACATGCAGTTTCTGGTCCTTTGAGCAACAGTTCTTTTCTGGTAAGGAAATTACTAAAGTGTCCCCTTGCCCTATACAGGGCAAATAGCATTCACATCTATTCCCAGCATGTGCAGTGTATTGGTTGGAAGTGTGGGTACTGTTTTTCTCAGTTTCCTATACAGAGTTGCACTAGATATAGCTCGTGTGTGTAGGAAGCACAGTTCTTTTGTTTTGAGCAAGCTCACTGTTCCGGCCCCATTGGAAACAAAGTAGCATAGAAGAAGGCTCCTTTCTCAAAAACAGAGTCTGTTTCTCCTAGGAGAGCTAGTGTTGAATTCCTCTTCAGAAACAGAGTTGAATCACATGCACTTTCTGATCCTACCAGCTACAGTTCTTTTCTGGTGAGGAAAAGTTACTACTGCGCTCCCATTGCCGTACACAGTATAAAGAGCACTCCTGTGTGTTTCAACCAAGTCCAATACTCGCGTGTGTATTGGACAAAAGAGAAGCTACTTTACCCGTAGTTTCCTAAGCAGAGTTGCACTAGATATAGCTCGTGTGTGTAGGAAGCACAGTTTTGTTTTTTTTTTTCAGAGCAAGCTCACTGTTTTAGCCTTATAGGAAAAACAGTAGCATAGAAGAATGCTCCTTTCTCAAAAGGAAAGTGTGTATCTCATAGATGAGCTAGTGTTAAATTCCCCTTCATAAATGGTGTTGAATCACATGCAGTTTCTTGTCCTACGAGCAACCGTTCTTTTCTGGTAAGGAAGTCACTATTGTACTCCCATTGACATAGACAGTGCAAAGAGCACTCATATCTCTTCCCAACAAGTACAGTGTAGTGGAAAGAAGAGAAGCTACTGTTTTTGTCAGTTTGCTAAAAAGAGCTGAACTAAATAGGGCCTGTTTTTGTAGTTAGCACAGTTCTTTGGTTCTGAGCAAGCTCACTGTTCTGGCTCTATAGGAAACACAGTAGAGTAGAAGAGTACTCCTTTCTCAAAAGCAGAGTGTGTTTCTCATGAGGTGAGCCAGTGTTGAATTCCCCTTCATAAACAGAGATCAATCCCATGCAGTTTCTGGTCCTATGAGCAACAATGCTTTTCTGGTAAGGAAATCACTACTGCGTCCCGTTGCTCTATACAGTGCATATGGCACTCACGTCTATTTACAGCTTGTGAAAGTGTATTGGATGGAAGAGAAGATACTGTTTTTGTCAGTTTCCTAGACAGAGTTGAACTAGATATGGCCCGTGTGTGTAGGAAGCACAGTTCTTTTGTTCTGAGCAAGCTCACTCTTCTGGCCCTATTGGAAACACAGTAGCATAGAAGAATGCTCCTTTCCCAAAGACAGAATCTGTTTCTCCTAGGAGAGCTAGTGTTGAATTCCCTTTCTAAAATGGAGTTGAATCACATGCAGTTTCTGGTCCTTCTGGCAACAGATCTTTTCTGTTAAGGAAATTCACTATTGAGCTCCCATTGCCATAAAAATTGCAAAGAGCACTTGCATCTATTCCTAGCAAGTGCAGTGTACTCGACAGAAAAAAAGCTACTGCTTATGTCAGTTTCCTAAGTATAGTGGAACTAGATGTGTCCCGTGTATGTACAATGTACAATTCTTTTGTTCTGAACTAGCTCACTGTTCTGGCCCTATAGGAAACACAGTAGAGTAGAAGAGTGCTCCTTTCTCAAAAGCTGAGTATGTTTCTCCTAAGGCAAGCTAGTGTTTAATTCCTCTTCATAAAAGGAGTTGAATCACAAACAGTTTCTGATCCTACCAGCAACAGTTCTTTTCTGGTAAGCAAAGTCACTATTGTACTCCCATTGCCACACACAGTGCAAATAGCTCTCGTTTCTGTTCCCATCAAGTACAGTGCATTGGATGGAAGAGAAGCTACCGTTTTTGTCAGTTACCTAATCAGAGTTGAACTAGATATGGCCTGTGTGTGTAGGAAGCCCAGTTCTTTGGTTCTGAACAAGCTCACTGTTCTGGCTCTATTGGAAACACAGTAGAGCAGAAGAGTACTCTTTTCTCAAAAGCAGGGTGTGGTTCTCCCAAGAGAGCTAGTGTTGAATTCCGTTTAGGAATTAACAATTAATCTAACTCTCATTTGTGGAATACCAACCACATTTATTTATTTTTTTTTTTTTGGTTTTTCGAGACATGGTTTCTCTGTGTAGCTTTGCGCCTTTCCTGGTACTCGCTTTGGAGACCAGGCTGGCCTTGAACTCACAGAGATCTGCCTGCCTCTGCCTCCCGAGTGCTGGGATTAAAGGCGTGCGCCACCACCGCCCGGCGTCCAACCACATTTATTAAGTGAAGAGTATACATACTTAAATATGTATCACATAGACCATATACATAGATGTAAGCACTTCTTGATAAATTCTAAAGCTTTAAACCACACTCATTTATATTTAGTTATATATTATCTAATTTTTGAGAATTTCATACATATATATATATATATATGTATGACAAGAACTATATCAAACCACAGGTATCTCTGTTCTTTTTTTTTTTTTTTTCTGGAGCTGAGGACTGAACCCAGGGCCTTGTGCTTGCTAGGCAAGTGCTCTACCACTGAGCTAAATCCCAACCCCATCTCTGTTCTTTTTTTTTCTATTTTTATATTTTATATAATTAATAAAACAGTGCTTGTATAAAAATTCACACAAAGTTGCTAGAGAGCATACAATTTCCAAAAATGTCCTGGTTTGTGTTACATTCAGTTTTCTAAGGGTGCACTCCAATCAATGGTAACAGGCAGACAGGATGTGGTATCTTGTTCTCTTTGGTAAATCTAACCTCACAGTTATTCACTCCTCATAGTAGTAACTCTGATATCCACTTTGTGCAGGGTCTGCTCATGCTGGGATGTCAGACATTAAGGCTGGATCTACGAGAGGCAAGAACTTCCCACAGCAGTACCAGCCCCCACTTCATTCCCCACTTTGGCCCTCACCCCCACTTCAGAATGACCCAGGGACCTCCAACCAGGAGTCTCCAGGTCCCTCTCAGTCAGGCAAAAAGCAATCTCTGGGGGAATGGTAGAAACTGAGGCTATTTCTACAAGGACCCAAGCAGCCGCACTGTGGTGTGATCAGGCCAAATCCAGTCACCATCAAGTAGATCCCATTGGTCGGTTGATGATTGCTGCTGATATAAACCCGTCACCCCCTAACTTGAAAGGAAAGGAAGGCTTGGGGCTCGACACTGAAGGGGCAGGGCACTGAGCACTAACGACACTGGACACTTTACTCCCTGACATCTGTCATCTTACAGACACGGCCACGTGAACTAAGAGCAGGATTCGAACACTGTACATTCATACATTCGTTAACAACTTCCTAACAGAGAAAAGCAAGACCTCTACCACCCACTGTGACATACTACCTTAGTCAACGTCAGAATGTCTGTGCTAATCTTTAATCCTCTGTATACAAGGCAAAAATAACCCAAAACACAAATGAAGAATTTAGACGGGGAACAAGGAAAGCAGTCGCCAACAGATTTCATGAAACCCATTAAATTCTGAAAAAATAAGTATTTTTTATTTATATTGATTCATGAAAAAAAAACATGCCCCCTGGAGCCACCTGTATGGATGGGAAGTGAGGCTACCATACAGTCCAGGGGGTAGCAATCAGCTCCCAGAGTGTCTGCCTCTTTTCACTGAAAGGGACAGTGAGATTCGGGGTGCGGGGGTGGGGTGGGGGTGGGGGGTGAAGCCCTACATAATTAAAGTGTTAAGGAAACTAAAACAGTTTCCCAGAATTCAACACGCTCTGGGTTACAAAAAGTCACGCTTAATTCCGAGAACCTACCGTCTGTGCTGTGAGCAGACAGGACTTGTAAAAACTCAGCAACCGATTGTGCTTCTGACGCTGCGGGGCCACGCTCCACTCCAGAAAGCAGGACAATTTCCACATGGTTTGGAATCCTCTTGGTTATATCCTCAAGACCAGAGCAAATCCATGGAATTCTCTCTGACTAGTGGAAGGGTGAGAGCGTGCCACAGCCATCTTTGGGGTAGTGTGTGCGTGCGTGCGTGCATGCGAGCGTGCGTGTGCATGTGTGTGTGTGTGAGAGAGAGAAACAGAGAGAGAGAGAGAGAGAGAGAGAGAGAGAGAGACTAAGGCATTGGAGAGAGGCCCAAGTAAGGGGAAGGGGAGTCTTTTGGATGCCCCTGTGACCTTCTTTCTAGGCACAAAGAAGGTTGCTTTGTTTGTGGAGCACCCCCCGCCCTGCCCACTTTTTAGTAAGGAGATATGTTCGCAGGTGTGGTCATGTGACAGAGAGCCATGAAGGCCCTGTGTACTTCTCAACATCAATAATTTAGGTTTACAGTTACAGCATGAATTACCTGAAAATGACAGTGAATAGAAGCTTTATAGTATTCAAAATTGTTATTTTTTTTAAATGCCCATTGGGTACATGCAAAATTATATCATATTGTCTACTAGAACTAAAGTTCTTATCTGCATGAGAAAATTCATAGATTATTTCTATCATTTCTGCATATTAAGGTAGCAAAATAGTAAGCCATTAAGTTACCGCATTTGAAATGTCCCACGAGGCTTTTATGACTACCCAGGCAACTCAATTCATTTTCTAGGTCAATGGTAGATGGATTCAGTTTGGAAACACTGCTTCCTTTCCTTCTTAGGCTCTGGCCCAGTGTGGAGGGTAGAAGACATGTGTGCCTCCAGGGCAGGGGTGGGCCGGGCCAGGACGGCAGAACTTCCTGGAAGGATTGAGGAGGTCTGAGTGGGGCTGGGAAGGGGCAGGGGTGCTCCATTTAAGATGGTCTGGGTCCTTCCGACACCCGCAGAAGAGCCCTAGGCTCTTCGAGGTACAAGGCCATGCTGCTCATGGGAGGAGCTAACACTGAGGTCGGGGGATAGGACTTTGTACAAATTCATGGAAAAGTAAACAGTTCTTGGTGAACCAAGAGAAGCCCACCCATAAATCACACAAAAATGTCCCTACACCTTGTGTCCCATCTCTGTGTACAGAGGGAACAGGGCTGTGGAGGACACAGCTCACGTGGAGTCCGGTGAACTGAGCCTCCCTCCACATCTATCTACATTCACGTCTTCTTCCAGCGTTCTGTCTACAATGAGCACCCCAGGGCAGGCTGACAGGCTGAGCCCCAGGGAACCTTTCGGGGGGGGGGGCCCGGCAGAAGGGGACTCATAGAGTATCAAGGGGCTACACACTACTTCTAGTACTTAGATTCCATCCTGTCGGCTGGATCCAAGGGGCCTCTGGACTCTTCCAAACTCAGATGTCAAACACAGGATTAGTAAAACTAGCCACTGTGCCGCCTGAAGCCAGGTACCCATAACGCCTGAATATGGCATTTCTTTAAAGAAAAAAAAAAAGCATAAATCTAAAATCATCTTTAAAAATCCCAGCAATTTAAGTAATCTTACAGTATCTCATTTCAAATATTTTAAGATTTCTTTTCCCCTAAATAAAATGACTACCAAAGAGCCCGATGATTTTCTTGAAAAGGATTTCATTTTAATTAAAAAAAAAAAAGATAAAAATGGAACATGCAAAACATGGGAGAGAAACAAGCTGCTGAATTTGTATTTTGCTGTTTTTGAGACAGGGTCTCATTATGTAGACTAGACTGGCCTTGAGCTCACAGAGGTCCAATGGCCTGTGAGTAGAGGTGTGGACTACCACATCTAGTCTAAATTTGTATTTTGAATTGTGAGGGCTAGGGAGGGCGCCCCAGCCCTGAGGAGGGACTACCCTGTCAATTCTTGGATTTCACAGCATGGTTACTCCCAGGCTCCGGCCGTGCCACCAGGGATCACAGAATAGAGTCGTGAATACAAGAGACCGAATTCAAGGCTTCTTTCTTGTGGCTGGGTAGGTGTTACGTGTGCAAATGTAGGAAACCACTCGCCACTGACATAAGGTGCCTGTCTGTGGGTACCGTACACGAGCTCCGGAGCAATGCTCGGTCCCCGCCCATTGCTCAGCCTGTGGTGACCCAAGTCCCTGGGCGGCCCAGCCCTCTCACTTCTCCACTTTCTTGGCTTTCTTGAGGATGTCTGCACTTTTTCCTCTTGGGGCGGCGACACCGCTCATCGATGCTGGGTATACATTCATAGTGCCACACCTCCTCCATCTTCTCCACGGGGTAGACAGCTTCCACGTAATGACGGATGAGCCTCAGCCGCGTGGGGTCCAGCTGCTTCTTGTTGCAAGCCCCGGAGTAGTTGTACTGCAGTCGAAGGTTCTCGGCGGTGAAGAGTTCTGGAAGAGCCTGACCAGGAGCCGGGCAGCAAAGTTGCCCACGGACAGGCTCTGCTGCACGATCTCACATACCTCCTTGTCTGACAGCAGGTAGGGGGAAGGCACCGGAAAGTCTGGCGAGGGGACCACCAGCTCGTCCAAGGGGATTTTGCAAAAGTCTTTGCTGCTCCTTTCAGGAGGCAGTGGGGGCCCCTCAAACTCCTCTCGGAACCTCTCGGGGTTGATTGCATAACTTGCTAGGTCCCGGCACTCGGGGCCAGGCACGTGGACCTTGTGCTGCTGCTGGTAGGAGCGCCGCAGCTCCGTGTCCCTGCGCCGCCGACAGCGCTCGTTCAGCTTGCCCACGAACTGCAGAGTCCACACGCGGTCATTCTTGGCCCGCGGGTAGAGCAGCTGCACATAGTGGCGGATCAGCCTGATGCGGGCAGGGTCCAGCTGCTTCTTGCCCAGGGAGCCGCTGCAGTTGTACTGCTTGCGCAGGTTCTCGTGGGTGAAGAGCTCTGGGAAGAGGTGCACCAGCAGGCGGGTGGCAAAGTTGCCGATGGACAGGCTGCTCTCGTAGATGCTCCGCAGCTGCTCCTTGCTCAGCAGGCATTCTGAGCCTGGCATCTCGAAGTCAGGCTGTGGGATCTCCAGCTTGTCAAAATCAATGGGCACCAGCCAGATCTTCTTGGAGCGCCGGCCAGGCCGATAGCCCTCGAAGTTGTCCTCTACCTTGACCACTGAGATGTCATCTGGCAGGCTGGAGGAGTCGTAGCAGTCGTCCCGTGGGGCCTCCCCCTCGCTGCCCGCCTCCAGCCCCAGGCCCTCCAGCTCACCGTTGATGCGCTGGGCACACTGCTGCAGCCAGGCCTCCTCCTCCTGCATATCGGGAAAGTAGATCTCCGTGTAGTTGCGGATGATCTGCAGCCTCTGGGGATCCAGCTCCTGCTTGCCACCGTCCCCATAGCAGCTGTACTGCTCACCCAGCTTCCGGTGGTCAAACAGCTCTGGGAAGAGCCGGTGCAGGAGGAACACAGCAAACTCACCTGGGGAAGAGGCCTCATCGAGGATCTTGGTGAGGTCCTGTGTGTCCACCACATGGTCGGAGGCGATGGTGCTGCTGCGGTCCAGAGACAGAGCTTCTTCTTGGTCCTTGTTGTCCAGGAAGTGGCCGGCATCCACTTGGTCGGCTTCAAAGAAGTTGGTGACCTGGCCGCCTGGCTGGCTGTCTTCCATTTCCCACTGGGCCCAGAAGCGGCTGAAGAAGTCGTTCAGCTGTGGCAAGCATTCAGCCTGCCACACAGCCGTGTCCTTCACAGAGGGGTAGTAGACCTCCACGTAGTTGCGGATAAGCTGGAGGTGCAGCGACTCTAGCTTCCGCTTGGCGGCAAAGCCGCAGGTACTGCAGCCGGGGGAGAAATCCACATCGCTGAAGAGCTCGGGGAAGAGCTGCACAAGCAGGCGACAGGCTAGGTCGCCGCAGGACAGGCTCTGCTCCACGATCTGCTTCAGCTTGGCGGGAGTGAGCTGGTACTCGGGCGGAGGCTGGAACTTGGCCACCAGCTCTGAAGGGCTCACCTGCTTCTTGATACGGCTCACCTCGAGGGAGAGCAGGTCCACCTTGCTGTGAAGCTGGGACATGTTAGATGTGAGCGTGTTGAGCATGTCGAACATCTTCTGGATCAGGAAGTAGATATTGGGGTCCCCATCACTGGCCACCCCAGCACCACATTCCCGTTTCTGAGGCTCATTCAGCAGGCGTAGAGGAGGACTGTTACTGAAGTTTGCCTTTTCAATGAGCTCATAGGGGCTGAGCAGGTCTCCAGAGGGAGGGTTGTTCTTCTCCATGATCTTGTGGAAGATGCCATACAGAGGCTTCTTGTAGGAAGGAGTGGTGGCCTCATTGGAAGGCTCTTCCTCTGCAGGCCACACGCAGCTGCCACTCCTGCCCCGGCTGGCTGGCTCCCCGTTTCCCTGGCAGGGTGAGCTGTTCTCATGGTTGCGCATGCCTGCGAGGAGTGCCTCGGGTATCAACCGTCTCCTCTTCACACTGGGGACGGAGTCTGGTTGGTTGTCGCTGCCCAGCTGCTTCCGCTTGCTGGACTCCTGGAGGGCAGTGAGGACGCTGTCCAAGGGGTGCTTCTCGGAGGCCCTGGAGTTCCGGGAGTAGTCCAGCGGAGCATCATCACCCTCTACCTTCACAGCGTTATTTTTTACAACTTCTTCTACATCTTCACCGAATTCAGTTGAGTTCATCTTCTATTCCACTGGGACGAGAGTTGTTACTTTGCAGAGCGGGCCCGCGCCGAGTTCCGGCGCCACGTGCGGGGGCGGGCGCGCGCGCGTGGGCAGCAGTGGGGGCGGAGCGCGCAGGGCCTGGCCGGGACGGCCCCGCCTACTGGCCCCATCTCTGTTCTTAAATGAAAAAGAATTCATGTTTTAATCCAGTTGTGAGTTAGTAATGATGCGATTTAAGCAGCCTCAGGTTTGAACAACCTTGCTGCTTAGAGGTCCGCACCCCTTTCTCTGATATTGTCCCACCATCTCATCCCTTTCTGGCTGCTTTCTGTGCTGTGCTGAACTATAGTGTATTTGTGAAGACACTTGCAAAGGGGTGGGTGCCAGAAGTGATCTACAGCATCAAAGCAACATACTCATATTTTAGACTTAAAATGTGAAAAGCTGTGCATAGAAGTTGAATTATTATAAACCTAGAACACATTTCAAAAGCACCAGAGGAGATCATTATCAGAAAGAACATGGTAATGACTCTTATGGAAAGGCGAGTAATTAATATTGTAGTTGTTTGAAAGTTAGTCATACCCACATACCACTGATTGGGGAATCTCTGCTTGCCATAAATCCAGTTTCCAAGGATATACTAGATCAATACAGCTCCTAATTCTAGAATATAATAACAAGGCAAGAGGAGCAGAGTAGAAGGTCCTACCATGGTCTTGACTTCTCTGAACTTAGAAGGACTCTGGACAAATTGTCAGCTTCTGAGGTTGTTTCAGGTTTTACAAAGAACATTATTTCTGATGTATTGTAAAATCTGACATTTTAAAATAATGTGGTTTTAAAAGTATATACACTTGGAATCTAATACTATAATGATTTAATATTCACTATCATGTACTTTAAAAAATAAAAGCGTAAGTGAGGTGTGGTGGTTCACACCTATAATCCTAGCAGTCAGGAGGGAGGAGGGATATGAGGTCATAACCAGACTAGGTAACATAATGAGACTCTGTCTGAGGAAACGAAACCAAACTGAGTGTGTGTGTGTGTGTGTGTGTGTGTGTGTGTCTTTTTTTTTTTGGTGGGGGTGTTGTTTGTGATAACATGTTGGTTCTGTCCATGTGTACATGAGTGTACAGCTATCCAATGCTGGAGCATGGGAAATCTACCAGTGGACATATCTTCAAAAAAGAGTATGTATATGTCTGCGTATAGATACACTTATACTGTTAATTTCTAAAAACTCATATTTCATTTGCTCTTCTCACAGGATTTTGATCAATATAATATGCTTAAAAAGTTTGTTGATTATCATAGAGAATCAGAATATTAAAAATTAAAACCCTAAATCTATGTCTCAAAAATGGTAAACAGATTGAGGTTTTATTACTATTATTAGCACAAAATGTATTAAGACCATAAATGTCTTACAAATAGTGTTGAACTATCACTCCATCTAAGAGCTACATTTATTGATACACCATACATTTGACGTGGGGCTTTTTAAAAAAGAAGTTGTTCTTTTATTGTGTACAGTATTATTTCAGAAGCAAGCCAAGCTCTAGTGTAGTTCCAGTTGGTACATTTCTCTAGATGCGGCCATTGAAATCTTCCTCATATATTTACGTAGATTAGGTTGGCAGGATTTTTATATCAATGAACTATTAAAAACCCTTTACTGGGTATTTAAAAAAATGACCTGGTGTCTCCCTGTTAAATACTGTTTTGTGGTTTATCCTCTGACTGCACAATTTTTGTTTTGCAGAAAGGAAAACCTGACTTTAAAAGAGGGTTGTCTCACACTCATAGAAGACATTCATGTCTCCATTTCTGGAAGTGACCCCAGACTTTCTTTTAGAGGCTCCTTGCTCAAGCTGATACATTTGAGAACAACAGATATTCCAAACTCCAGTAACTGGTGTTTTTAGACAAGATGCTTTTCTTTATAATATGCCTGAAATTTGTTTCATGAAAACCTTGGAATTGGAGGCTTAGCTGCAAAGCCTTATGAAAAATGTTCACCATATAATCTCTTTTGAAAAAAACAAATTTGCTGAGTCAATCTTTGAGGCCCAGCTTACTGTCTTCCAAGTTGAACTTTTGTAATTAAATGAACTGCCTCTGGGGCCTCTTCTGGCCTGTCATGAATCTTCTGAGTTCTGTTAAGATGAGTGGCTAGACGTGTGAGGAGGTCTGCAGTGGGAGCTCAGGCACCATCTCAGCTGGAGTTTCTTATTGAGTCCCTTGTACTTGGCTCCCACGGAACTCTTCCTTGGGAGCCTGGTATTCTTTGACAGTGACTTGCAGATGAAAAGGCAAACTGTTTAAACAGAGACTGTTGGCTCCATGGCTCCTGACATGTTCAGATCAATTTTAGGGGGGAAAACTTGAAGATCTAGAAATCGATTGTCTGACTCTGTGGCCTGCACTGGAAGATCACATCTAAACCTGTGAACGTGGAAGGATGAAGGACTTAGCAGCCATTTGGCCGCTTGCTGATGATTGGTCCCCATGGCTTCGGATGTCTCCAGGATTTTAGTAAGTGACACTTGTGTTGAAGACTTGATTCACATAGAATTTGTGGGCCTGGTTTCTGCCTGAAACAGCATTTCAGATCAGTTCCTGCGGGAGAGTAAGTTAGAAGAAAAGGTAAACCACTCGATTCTGAAAGTGGTAGACAATGATTTTATGCCCACGATTGAGTGCTGCTGGTTTGTCATGAAGGAACCACTGCAGAATCTGTTGTGTAGAATTGTGTAAGGTGTAAACACTTTGGAAAATCCTCTAACATGAGAAAAAAACCCTGCAATTTGACTCTAAAGACTGCTAAGTCAGCCAGTGTATGTGATTTCTGACTGCTCAGTCACCTGTCTCCTCAAGATTTCTATCTTGTAGAGAGAGAGGTGGCTACAGAATCATCTACAGAAAATGAATTTTTCATGCAAGGTGATGGGAATTAAATTACCATTGCTGACTTAGCATTAATGTATCATCATGTAAATGACGGGTCATGATATCACTACTCTTATATGTACTGAGAATGCAATGGCACTCTGTAGATTCCATTTTCCAACTGTTACTTCCTACAGTAGAGATGGGCAGCTCCTTAGGTTACTGTTTCTCCTTGCACAGCTATGCTACAATGGGAAAGATTCGAATTGAGCTTAGAGACTTTGTGTGCATCAATTGGTGAAGGGGCTGGAGATGTGGCTTAGTTGGTAGAGTATGTGCCTACTATGCATGTCACTGCATGTGAACTTAATATGCATGAAGTCCTGGTCTGGGTCCCCCGCACTACATAAAAGTGGCTATGGTGGTGCACCTCTGTAAACCCCTAAGGATGCAGGTAGATTGGAAGTTCAACTTTGTCCTTGACTGTGTAGTGAATTCTAGGCCAGCTTGGGCTACACGATACCTGTGTCAAAAAAGAAAGTATCAGATGGATGTGAGATATGCCTTTCATATCATTGACAGTATTAGCACTGACGGAGCTAAGGACAGCTGTGGTTCTAAGGCAAGTTTTTGCATTGGCGTTTGTACTGTTGGCTTTGGCCTGCACCAGTAAGCTGAACAGAATATCAGGACTACTGCACCCCATAACTGTTGGGTCTGATGCCTTCTGGCTGTGCATGACACTCAACCCCAGTGAGCACGAGGATCTTCTTGTGGGAACAGGGCATGGGCATCGTATCTATCATTCAGGCTTGCATGGTTGAAGGAATGGCTGAGTGCATGTAGGACATTTTGCATGGGGTCACAAATAATAGCTGTAGTGAAAAATGGGACTAAAAGACTAATATTGGGTCAATTGGATTGAATATTTTACTTTGTTACAGGTTTAAGATCATTGTTAGCCTAACAAATACAACTGTCTATTTATCATCTCCTTATTATCAAGTATAGGAATGCTTTGTTGTCAAGTACATTAACATTTGAGACACTTTTGTAGTAACTGAAACCATGCCAGGAGTTTTCATGCTTCAGATGATGTTATTATTTTTGGGACATGGGGCCTTATGTTAATTATCATCTCTTTCTAGTGTCAAGATGCCACCTTGGTTGATAAAGCTTCTTGCTATATAAAAGACTTGTTAATGTAACTTTTCTGCATAAAGATTTCAGACTGGGTCTAAAACGTCACCTTGTTATAGAATTTTCTCCAGACCAGACAGGAAATAGTCAAGCTCTTTTCATCTTTTCCTTCAGGGTGTCAATAGCCACATGACTGTGAAGAAGCCATAGCAATGTCACATTTCCCTTTTGTCAAGACCTGTTAATTCTCTGTCCTGATTTTGGTCATTTGCTAATCAGAAGTTCTACCAGACAGGGTATTTATCTTTCTTTTCTTTCTTTTTATTAAATAAATTTATTTATTTTACATCCAAGCCACAATTTAGCCTCCCTCCCTCCTACCAAGTCTCCCCATCCCCCTCTGTTCCCACCTCCAATCCACTCTTCCTCCATTTCTGTTTATGAAAGGGCACATCTCCCATGAGTATCAACAAAACATGGCATAGCAAATTGCAGTAAGACTAAGCACTTCCCCATGTATTAAGGCTGGACAAGGACACCCAGTATGTGGAATAGGGTCCTGAAAGCCAGCAGAAGAGTCAGAGACAGCCCCTGCTCTTACTGTTAGGAGTCCCACAAAAAGACCAAGTTATACATGCAGAGTGGCTAGGTCAGTCCCATGCAGGCTCCCTGGTTGTCAGTTCAGTCTCTATGAGCCCTGATGAGCTCAGGTTAGTTGATTCTGTGACTCCTTTTGTGGTGTCCTTGACCCCTCTGGCTCTGCCAATCTTTTCTCTTTCTCTTCTGCAGGGTTCCCTGATCCACTTATGCTTGGTTCTGGGTCTGCATCTGTTTCCATCAGTTGTTGGAGGGAGCCTCTCTGATGACAATTGGACTAGGCACCAGTCTGGTCACAGGAGATGGCCAGTTCAGGCTATGTATCTGGTATTGCTAGGATTCTAAGCTGGGGTCTTCCTTGTAGATTCCTGTGAGAGTCCCTTGTCCCAGGTTTTACCCGACCCCAAAATGCATCGCCTTTCCAGTAATCTCTCTCCCTCTGTCCCTCCCCAACCCTCAACCTGATCACTCATGTTTCCTTCCTCACCTACCCCCACTCCACTCACGAAATCTCTTCTATTTCCCAGGGAGATCTGAGTGTCCCCTCCCATGAACCCTCCTTGTCACCTAGCCTCTCTAGGACTGTGGATTGTAGCATGGTTATCCTTTACTTTACAGATAATATCTACATACCATGTTTGTCTTTCTCAGTCTGATTTACCTCACTCAGGATGATCTTTTTTCTAATTCCATCCATTTGCCTTCAAGTTCCTGGTGTCCTTGTTTTAAATAGTCCAGTAAGCCGGGCGGTGGTGGCGCATGCCTTTAATCCCAGCACTCGGGAGGCAGAGGCAGGCGGATCTCTGTGAGTTCGAGGCCAGCCTGGTCTTCAGCGCGAGATCCAGGAAAGGCGCAAAGCTACACAGAGAAACCCTGTCTCGAAAAACCAAAAAAAAAAAAAATAAAATAAAAAAATAAAAAAAATAAATAGTCCAGTAACACTCCATTGTGTAAATGTACCACATTTTCTTTATCCATTCCTTGGTTGAGGGACATCTAGGTTGTTTCAGGTTCTGGATATTGCAAATAAAGTCGCTATGAACATTGTTGAGCAAGTACACCAAAAAGGAAATTAATTATTAATCTTGGGTAGATAAAATATTTAAGATATATGTTTCGTTCTGAAACTTCTATTGTTTCGGAACGAAATAGTAGTGAGATTGTTGAGAATCACTTCTGGGGGAGAAGTGGACATGTATAGATGCCATTATTCATATGGTGACTGCATGTGAGCAATTATACTCATTTGGCAACCAAGGCGGGTTCATGATTCTAGAGCAATCCATTGATAAAGCATATTATTGACTTTCACCAAGGCAAACATTAGAGAACCGTTCAGTCAACTGTAAGGTTTTAAGCTTCTACTTCTTAACACTAATGTTACATGTGGCAGTAGAAGACATTTTAGCACTTCAGAAAAAAAAAAAACACAAAGATAGTGGCTGAGAGCATAGCTGGTAGTAAGGTGTTATGCCTTTCATTCCTCAAAGTGTTTATCAGACATTGTGTTCAAATCCAGCACCCAGAAATAAAGGAGCAGACAAACCAAAATGGCACAAGAAATCGGGAAGAATCTGGGGGTCAAACAGAAAAGAGCCAGCACAGCCCTGGTGGCCTGCAGGTCAGGCCGAGGCCAAGGCTGCGCACGTGCTCAGCTTTGCTTCTCATGCTGGGGTTAGCCACAGTGTGGGGAGATTGAATGTCATCTCCCAAATGACTCCAACTTTGTGTTTTGTCTGATTGCTACTTTCTCATTCCTCAAAAGAACCTGTGAAGTATATTAACTATCATTGAATAAGTTGCTGGGAAAAGAAACAATTATTGGGCAGTATTTGTTGGGGATTTGAGAGTCATAAAACAAAATTTAGAAATAGGACCATGTGAAGTATTGAGAAGCTGTATCAGATTGTGGAATTAATTTATTGTGGAGGTTAGCTGCCAGTTTTCAAAGAACAAAAAGAGTCCAGATTAGTTGGGTTATTTTAGTAATTATTATTTAACATGTGCTAAGTGTCCACAGCATGCTGGTGCCTTCCCATGATATCAAAAGGCACCACGGAAGGAATGAGACTTGCTGTTGGGTTTAATTAATCTCTCAAGTTAATTGCCAATATGGGGCACATTTCTTA